CCGACGCTGCAGAAGGAGTTAAGTTTATCTACCTGGATTTTTCCAAGGCTTTCGATCGTCTAGACCATCGGATACTACTCTCTAAGCTCCAGCATTACGGGATCGGAGAGACTTTCAAGCTGCATTGCAAACTTTCTACTTCAACGGCAATTAGTGGCCAGAGTTCGGAGCTCTTTATCGGACCCCATACAAGTCGAGTGTGGTGTGCCTCAAGACTCAGTTCTAGGTCCACGTTTGCTTTTGATGTTTGGTAATGACCTTGCACACGGAATTGTTTCTAACTTCCTAAAGTTTGCCGACGATATCAAGGTTTGGCGCAGGATACAGGCGAACGCTGACCAGCATCTGCTTTAGAGACCTAGGTAAGGTATATCAAGGGTCAACCCAAAACTTGCTGTATTTCAACGTCGGTAAATGTAAGATGCTTTCCATCCGACATCAGAGCAGCTACTCATACCGGCTCGGAACGAATATACTGCAACAATCAACTATCGAACGTGATTTAGGTGTCCTGCTTCAAGATGACTTGGGTTACTCCAAGCAATCCGAAAAGGCCTCGAAGACTGGAAACCAACACGTCGGGCTGTTGCGACGGGCGTTTGGACAAATAAACAGCTCCATATTTCGACAAATGCTCAGTGCGTATGTTCGCCCCCATGTCAAATACGCGAGGTAAGCCTGGCATCCATGGCTGAAACACGTTCTTAATGCACTGGAGCAGCCACAACGTCGAGCATCTAAGAAGGTATTTGGAATGCGCAATCTTTCATACCAGGAGCCGGCTGCAACAGTGGAGGCTATCGCAGACTACGATGTGACCTGATTATGGCATATTTGATTCTGCGAGACCCACGTCATGTGTGCCGTGCTTTACTGCAACTCAGCAGCAATACAAACCTGAGGGGCCACTCATTGAAACTCGCTGTACAGTATAGCCGCCTGGAGTGCCGCAGAAATTTCTTTTCCATTCGTGTCTGTCACCCGTGGAATGCTCTCCCAGAATCGGTCGTCTCTGCACCGACACTAACAGTAGTTAAAAGACCGTTGGATGATGCACTCATCCGCTTACACTTTATCACTTAGTACCACGTCTCCATCCTACACCTGGAGTTTACCATGGAATTATTTAATGTTAACTGCGGGTGCTGTGAATCTAAACGGATTACAGGACTACGGCGGAGCAAACGATAAGTCCTTATTTTCATTTTAAAAGTATTAACTGTTTTACTATCATTATTATCGTTATTGTTATGTCGATATCCCCACCAACTATCCAACGGAACTTGTAAAGCAACGCTTTTTAACCCGTATAAATTCATTGTTCATTGACTGTAATCGGATCGGTCTTGATGGATGCGTTCAGCTAGCTTCTTACAACATCAACTTAATTAGTATGTTCCGCCGATCAACAACAGTTTAACGACAATTAGAAAACACCGATCTGATTGTTCACTTCTATTGAATCTCATCCTTGTTCACATGTGACCACAATTGCTCCGTGTTCGCAGACCACGCGACGCGCTACTTTTCTTAAGAAACCGCATTTTAGTTAGCAGGTCGTGTGTTCCATCTAGCCCATAGTCACTCCTGAAATGCTTGTCCAGCAAATTCTTCGCACAGTTCCTTACGATTATCATCCAGAATACTCAATTACCAAGCACGATCGTTTCTTATCGTTGTTCTCACGGAGCGTGAACCAAAAGGACAAAAGCTATTTGACGTCGTTTGATTCACGTATATTCTTACGGCCCTACGCTTCTCAGAATACTCTATACAGAGCCAGCTTCTTCTTCGCAATCAGAATCAAATTTTATCATCGTACTTTGCTTGGTCTATCACAAAAATCTATCCGTGAACTGAAAAAGTATCTCATTCCACCCCGTTTTCCATGGTCCACGGATTTTTCGAAGCGCTTGCTAACTGATTGAAGTGGGCTAGTTTGCGCTTTGTGTTAGCTGCATGTTCGCATGTTCTGTAGACTTGCGCTGCAATCGACTTCTGGTTGCGAATTTATTGGCGTGGCTCCCTCTACGAACATTCCACATGTGATTCACGACAGACCATATTTATGCGTTTGCATAATCACAATAGATATTGGCGTCCGATTAGCCATTTGTTTGTCCCATAATTGGACGCTTCAGGCCACTTGTATAACCTCGCTTCACCTGTGGCCTGCATCCTACCTTGCCTCTCGCCGCAACTGCACATTTAAAAGAGGGCATCATATGCGTTTTTATCAGTTGACACTTGTACGTTAACGTCAAGATGTTGGCTGACGGACGTTCACATGCGTAGTGTTCCACTCCGGGTCAACGGCGTCCGTGTTCCAGTCAGTCACAGGACTAAACCTGAATGACTGCTGTCGATTGGATGCACAATGGCATACTGGCGACATACAATGCATTAATCTTGGATTCACTACAGCACACACGACATCAGTTGTGAATCTAGCCAAAGCATACCTACCTGCATCCTGTCAGACCATCGGATCTGTGTTCAAATTCATTAACCTCTGTTTTGGACAATCAGGATGGTATCACGTCCACGTTAAGCTCTCAATGGGTTGTTGACCCTCATTCTACTTGGTCACATCTGTGCATATGTCGTGAGCGTGGAACAGCGCATAATGGATATCTCATGAGAAATCAGAGAGTGAGCACTGCGGTGCCCACTCTGCAACTCTAACCATCTTCCGGATAATTCTACGTCATCATCATCACTACACGTTAGTTAAAGGTGAGAAACATCTTAACTGTTGTGCCGGAATACAAAGTTGTAGAAAGCGAGATAACAAACATTACAAAATACAATATAAAACCCAAACACAAGTGCTATGATGCTTTGTATCATAGTATACATCGGGTATGAGATCGTAGTTGGAGGAAAGCTCACCGGGAGGGGATGGACTATGAAACTCACAACACGAACTTCATTCAGGTCGGCTCTTCGTCATATCAACCAGTGTATCCATTGGCAGTCTAGAGACACTAACCGACGCCAATTTCGAAGAAGGGGTCTTCATTCATCTTCACCAAATCATCGCGCTTGGCCTCCCTTCTCTTCTTCCATTCACAGCCCCGGCGCGCAAACAACGCACGTCGCGAGAGTCGCTGGGCTAGCATGCGCATCAGGTGGCCCAACCATTGGAGCCTGGTGCCGTGATGTAGCGTTGCTGAGCGGTTCACTCGCTCTTCCTGCGCCAGATACGCGACGCCGAACACGCTCGTTGCTCACGCAGTGTTTCTACCATACATAAGCTAAACTGCTGTAACATCATCATCATCAGCAGCAGCAGCACATCAGCCATTTGAACTGATGCTTCGCTGCTATACAACCACGGGGACCTATGAAATAAAGAATAAGAAGAGGGAGAGAAGGGGGACTTACCTGAAAACCTTAATGCCCTAAGCAAACATTCAGGGTCAAGGCGCCTACACCTTGTGCAGACAATATACCGTTATAAACAGCTGACTATCATGCAAATATAAGGCGGCATCTGCGAGACAGCTTCCTTGGGGCTTTCACTACGATGCGTCATAATCAGCCATTACCCCGCAGATAACCCAGCACCAAACACACTTTAAACAGGCAATCCGATTAGGAGACTGCAGCAGACGCGCCACTGGTGTCGGTTGCGAGCCATGTCCTGTAAAGTCTCGAGCCAAGCACAAGACGAGTCACGTGGGCTCCAGCCCGGAAGGCGAGACGGACCAACGACACCCAGTTTGGTCGTCAGTGACTTCATTTCCCGCTGCCAAGTCAACTTCTGTCCACTTCGAGCTTTGCGCCCCCTCTACACCTGGCAGACTAAACAAGGCCCTCCTGCGTAAGCGGTGACCAGGCATACGTAGTACGTGCGCGAGCCAACGCAACTTATTCAGTGCCATCTGTTGTTCTAGGGTGCTAGCATGATTATCACCACCTAGTACTTGCCTACGCACATCATCGTGGCGCACACGCTGGTGACATCCCACTCCAGCCATGCTTCGCAGACAACGGTGATCAGAGACTTGAAGGCGCCTCAGATCTTCAGACCGAATGGGCCAAGTCTCACTCCCATAGATCAGAAGGCCCTCACTGTGGCCTTGTATACCCGGCCTTTCAGAAGGAGGAAAATCCGTTCTGTCGCCAAAGATGCCGCAGGTTCAAGAAGTGGCTCTGGCCTTTGCAATATGTGAGCTAATGTCAGTTTTTATGCGCCCATCATTGCTGATGCAGCTGCCAAGATGGGTGAAATGATCAACCACCTGGAGTTCCTCGTTAGCAAGCGTCAAGGGGTCATAAAGTGGCTGGTGGCCCTGCAGCAACACTTTGCACTTTGTAGGTGCTATAGGACAGACGATCGAATGCAACTAGCCTCTTTAGGTCTGTCAGGTAATCAGGAACGGCTTCATAGTTCCCTCTCACTCCTATCCTATCTAGCTGCCGCATTGGGTTTTTGCTAAGGGGTACTTTTGTGCCTCACTCTAGTGATATGCTTGATCGACTGCCCTTGCTAGTTTATCGTTTGCCCATCTAAGTGGGCGCAATCCTCTCACTTTTTTCCATGATATTATATTGGTTTCTAACTGGCTCCACGGACATTGCTTAGCGTTGATATCGTTGTATCTTTTTGCTTCACGGTGCATGGAGGTGTAAAGTGGAATATTATATGATGATGATTGCTCTCAGTACTTACTTCGCGATCGGTTTCTTCTTTGATTGGATTCAACAGATAGGGGTGGCCGGTACCCCGAAGTCTAAAATTGACTTCCTAACTGTTTTGCCAGTCTTCACTCAACGGATCTTAGCGATCTAATGATCCAGCCACTGTGCAATCTCTGCCTGATGAGTCTCAACAAGGAGGTAACCCGTCGACAACCCTTAACATCGGATACAGTCCCAGTGCTCGGGTTAACTGAGGCTAGCTTCAAAATGAACTAAGGTCCCACTAAAGAGCGCAATTCAAACACACAACGGGTATTCCAGCGTCATAACTGAATTAGTACATTCTAATTATTATGATTTTAAAGGGAATGAGTCACGGCGATGTGCGCATATTTCATTCTTTCGAGATCGATCGGCGGTGTAGCGTAAATCTACGCGACGAAATTGTAGAACCGGCGGTTTTCCTTTTCCAAACCAACATTTGAGACCGCGGTAACCAAATAATGTGACCACAATAGCAGCGAGCCGAATTTCGCTATTGCTCCTTAATTTGCGCACCTTTGATCGGCCATTCATCGATCTAGCAAGTCACACTTCATACCTCTATTCTTCAACCGCCACGTAATTGATAGGTGTGGGAAAATATTTACTCGCCTACGCAAATGTTGCAATATTTTTTTCCCGCCTATCTATACAATGAGTTGCTCCCTCAGACAGTGTTTGATTTCTTCGCCTTTCCCCTCATTCCTATCGGTATTCTTTAATATTTATTCCACACCCGGTTTGCGTAAATCATCTCAAAGGCTGACTAATAACTCTCTCCAAACACGTGCGTCGTATACCGACCGTAACTTTCGACTGACATTGTCCTTTCTTTGCTCAGGAACGTACGTACTTCAAGTTAATAATTTCCTGGATTTTTATGTTTTAGTTCCACGGCCCCCGGATTGGCTGTCTCTTTGTGCGTGGCTTGGGTGACGACAAACCCGATCCTTTCTTGTCTAACCCTACTAGTAATACCGACAGTGCCCCTTTCGTCCCACTGTTTCTTGGAGGCGGCCAAGAGTGCGGATTTCGCTCTGGGTACGTTTGCCTCGTCTGATCTCTGCCATTTCCTTCTGTGTGTTCCTAGGTGCCAAGCCCCCTCTCACTCGGCCGTTTAGCTTGTTTAGCGTGACGTTAGTTTTTGGTCTGGTGTATGTCTCCAACCTCCGCCCGTGAATCATTTACGGTCAGTTTTGCATGGCATTTATACTCTCTGGTTATCTGTTATTGTCATTTATATCGTTCTACAACTGCACTGGATGGTGATTCGCTGGATGTACTCGTTGGTAAGTGGATCGCGCAACGTATCCTCCATTCGACGCATTGAGTTCCCTGTATTAACTTGGATAGCACTATTAGAAGACGAATGTTGCAAGATAGTACCATCTCCTGCCCTCTGTTTACTTGCAAACGGACAACATTTCAAATGATAAGGTTGCCAAAAAAAATCAATAAGTTGGAAGCGGGAGGTCACATGCAAGCGAAGCAAACGATGGTTACAGGTCGAGGAGGTATCATTAACTCCAAGGGAGTTTGAGCGTAACGAACAGTTGCTTCTAGACGCACAATGTTGGACAATGGTTTTTTATGGCCACTGCCTCGGCAAACTTGAGGACTCTGGCGTTTGTGTTACGAGTGACGACACTAAACGCCGAGTTGGGGTCCACATGATGTTGTTTCGCAATCGAAGAGGCAGGTATGTTGTTCGTCGACACAGGTCCCGGTTGCGGCTGTCTTGTTAAGGTAACGATACGCTTCGGAATGTGCTCCCCAATCTGCTTACACAAGCAACGATCTGTCCTGCCGATGTAACTGCTTCTACAGTTACAAACAAATCGATAGATAGAGTATGTTGTGGCGGAGGTCGGTTTAGTAGGCTGGACTGGGGCAGTGGTAGCCTCTTGGTTGTCCAGAGAAGGCAGAATTTAGCGATACCGAATGCACGTTCTATTGCAACTGCTGTGCGTTATTCTACCTGCCTAGCCAGAACCTCAGGATTCATAGTCGCCTCGCGGAAAGTGAACAACCGGTCGTTCTTACTGTACCGAAAATGCCTATTTATCTGCGATTGCCCTACAAAGGTGATGTTCTGGCTAGGCAGGTAAAACGACGCACAGCAGTTGCAATACGACGTGCATTCGGGGCCGCTAAATTATGCCCTCTCTGGATAACCAAGAAGCTACCACTGCCCCCAGTCAAGCCTACTAAGCCGACCTCCGCTAAAACATACTGTACCTATCGATTTGTTTGTAACAGTGGAAGCAGTTACATCGGCAGGACAGATCGTTGCTTGTGTAAGCAGATTGGGGAGCACATTCCGAAGCGTATCGTTACCATGACAAGACAGCCGCAAACGGGACCTGTGTCGACGAACAGCATACCTGCCTCTTCGATTGCGAAACACCTGATGGAAAAGGGATCATCATGTGGACCCCAACTCGGCGTTTAGTGTCATCACTCGTAACACAAACGCCAGAGTCCTCAAGTTTGCCGAGGCAGTGGCCATAAAAAAGCATTGTCCAACATTGTGCATCTAGAAGCAACTTCGTAACACCCATACTCCCTTGGGGTCAATGATACCTCCTCAACCTATAGCCACCGTTTACTTCGCTTGCATGTGATCTCCTGCTTTCAAGTTATTGATTTTTTTGGTGACCTTATCATTTGAAATGTTGTTCGTTTGCAAGTAAATAGAGGGCAGGAGATGGTACCATCTTGCAACATTCGTCTTCTAATAGTGCTATTGACGTATCCTCGATTCATCTAGCCACGTTTGGCGTCATTTTTCAGGTACCTTCAGCGTCACTCATTCCATGCTGACCATATTAACTTAATCCCAGCGTCCTTTTCATCGGAGATTGGGAAAAGGTTGTTGACCATCTTCTTTCACTTCAGCCATGAGCGGCGACATAATACCTACTAGAAGCTTGATTCCAAGAGGGGCCCACTCCTTTTATTTCTTTCCCACCACCAGATTCAGACCAGGCAGTTCTCTGTCATTATAGATGTATATCCATGGTAGCAAATGTTTGGCTTTCTACTATCGGAAACTTGTGTTATCGATCTCGCATGGCTCCGCGAAATTTGAGCGGTGTTCGCCGGAGCTCAACTCGGCAATTGTGCAGATCACGGCTGCACTCTCCCCAGGGACATCACTGCAGTGTGTCAAGGTGAACATCGCTTACTTCGGTGACACTGTTGTATCTGCCATCGCAAGCTACACCGACCTTGACTGTTTTCCTCAGAACATTGCTACTACGTGTCAGTTCAGCTGCCTTAGCAACATTCACCTTACTTCTTATTCTATGCATTACACAGTTATGCTAGTGTATTGTAGATCCCAAGTTATAGAAGACATGCTCGTCCTTGGCTGAGTCTGCCGACCCGTAGCCTTAGGGACCATAAGCCTGTCTTGTAATCCGAGAGCGCGAGTCCGAGACTGCTTGGGGACCGGGCGACCCTCGCAGTATCCTTAGTCCACGTGCGACTGGTGGTGGTTCCTCGGCAGCGAAGCCTCAGTACTGCGCACCTACGTACTGCAGGTGCCTTTGACTGAGTCAGCGAACGAACTCTTGTTGTTGGCCTTGGTACAGTCGTGCGAGGTTACGTGTTTCGTACCCATTCTCAACTCGCGTATGCACCTCTGGCAACTAGGTCTCTCAGATCATGCTGACACGTATTCATTTGGCTACTCTGTACATGGGGTACTACCTGTGAAAAGCGTTTTCTCTGTTCCGGCTAGGTGCACGTAAAGGACCAGTACGTTTATCACGGACTGCACTGGACGCTCCATGGAGGTTTCAGCAGCGCTTTTCACCTTCTCTCCAACTACACCTCTACACTCCCTTAATCACCACAGTCTAAAGACGGTTATCACCGAATAAAACCCATCGGCTGAAACCACCAGTGGTAAGATGTCATGCGGCGAAACTAAGTGATTCATTTGTCGTCTGAATTAACATTCCATCAAGTAATATCATTAATCCACAGCCAGGACACCGGTTACCACAAGCAACTGGGAGCTAATCCACGACACACATCAAATTCAACCGCCTCAGCTATGCCATGCGGATGGCACCCGAGTTCTCTTGTCCACTTAGCCTGCGTGTTCTGCATTGTGAATGAACTGGTCCTTGTATACTGAGGCGTCGCATCAACGCGTAACCTGATCATCGGCTTTTACCTTTCTCTGTCCACTATCTCCAAGTGCTTGCCCACGTCGCACAGGTTCAGCTCAAACAATTGACCGGACTAACTGGTAACGATAGTACCAGTGTCGAGGCGCATCTTATCGCTCGTATCCTTTAGGCTAATTTATGCCGACCCGACCCGGACTCCACATCACCCTGAGCCTGGCTCCATACATCGTGAATTCACTCCCTGATATCCATCCTCGATAGTCATCACCACGAATGTATCTGGGTGTTACTTTTCCTTTTCAAATGTAGGTTCCCTGAACCGCGAGAGTTCAGGAATTTGGAGTATTTGGGTAACTCACTTTTCCAGGTGCTAACGCGTTTATTGCTAATTTCTGCGTTTTGTTGCAGCTAGACTGTTAGACAATCGCCATGCGTTCAGTAAAGCTGAGTTGCCGTTTCATCCTGTTGGAACACATCAGCAATGTGAATCCGCCGTGCCCTGCTGTATTCCAGTCTATAACTGCGTATTTGTACCAGCGACTTGATCCGCTGAGCTATGGGTGATGGTGATGATGATGGCTAACCACCGTGACTGATCATCTGCTGAAATACAGCACAGCCGCAGTCGAGATGATATGCAAGCTGTCCTGGCGATCGCAAGGAAAGTCGTGATTCTGGGGGCCAACGCTCTCGGCACATTCGTGGCATTTCTCAATAAGAAACTGATAGTTTCGAATCCAGTAGGATTCCTCTATGTGCACTACTGAAGAGTCCCAACAAGGCGAAACCGTCGTTCTGCGCCCTTCCGGATGTGTGCTTTCTGTTTAACTGAGGCCAGTTGCGATGAACCCCCAACTATTTTTGCGGCCACTGTTCCTCGTTTCACACCATCATCTCTGTGCTCGGTCTCCCCAATGAATCACACGGTGGGTACGCCAAAACCCGAAAATCAACTTCCTGACCGCTGTGTCAAGCACTGCTCGCCAAGCTCAATGGCCTAGTGATCATGGCGATAGCCGCCGTTAAATAAGAGGACGAGCGTGCCAAAGTAATCCAAATAATTTATAGGGAAGTTCAGGGAGAATTGTATCCTGCTTTCAAAAATGTGCACAAATACGGTTCTGCGCGACTTTTCGCCACTAATAAATCAAGGAATACAAAGATCGCCTTAAGGAGCCACATGAACTTCACGGTGGGCGCGTACAGCCCCTTCAACTATACACGTAAAAAAGCCTGTGCATTCGTAATTGCGAACAAGAAACATATACTCTCACTGTGGTCACTCCCCATGCAAGAGCATGGGCTTTGTGTAAATATTGATCTGATCCCTTGCGAGCACAGCATCTAGCAAGTCTAGAAATATACTTTTATTTATTTATTTGGTATGTGCCAGTTTGGCTATCTGTACCTGATGAGTCTAATCCAGGAGGAAACTGTCGGTCGTGGAGTTCAGGGATGAGAAAGAGCCACACCGAAACCCTCCAATCACCTCCGTTTTTAGTGTACGGGCTCTTGCCTTTCCCGTGTTACAGTTATCTGATCTGCGCCACCAAATGACGATGGTCATGTACGTTCCTTAGAAACACAAAAGACATTGAATGAGTTACCGCTGCATTGCGCACGTACTGCGTATATGCATTTTCACTGCTTACTTTGGGTATCGTTTTGCTTCACGGATGTAGGATGGTGCAAGCATCGAGGGGAACGAATATTGACTTGGTAGCTTAAGCTGAAACTACGGATGACTAAACTGGGTGCTGTTTGCCCGTGTCAGCTTCCAGGTTAGAGCCCATATAACTCGAGACTTTACCGGAAATGGCTCACTGTTGGTGGCTCGTTCAATCTTGTCCTCTAGTCAGAGCGATTGTTTAACGTGCGTCCGAGACTGTATTATCGACCTATTCCACCTTGTCTTCGCACGATCACCAACAGTTTTCGACCGTATGCTGTTGTTGAAAAGGTGTATGAGCATTTGGGTTTCCCGTTAGATCTGTTTTCTCTCCTCCATACTTCTTCTCGTTCCCTAGCTCATTATGGTTGTGTGGTAACCAAATATCATTCCAAATCATTGATGCACTGCTGTTGAGGATGAGGACCTTGCTCGTGAGATGATGTTGGCGCCGGCTTCCTGAACGTATACGTGTTTATCGTTTAGCCACAACAAGGAGTACTTTTTCACTTGCTTTATTTCTTTCCATTGGGAACCGGGAAGTCCACCACCAGAGTGACTGAGTGAACTATCCCGTTGTTTCAGAAGTGACTGTAACTCTCGCGATGTCCATATTACTTATGAGTAGATGAATCCACATTAGAGTATCAGACAGTAACCGCAGCCCCCCTGCGACGACAATTCAAGAATGCACCATCAGGATGTACGCACGTATTCTGAGCACTTGATTTGTCCCGTATCGCAACCTTCCACTCACGTGGGAGGTGGGATACGAACCGTATCCCCTTCCTTGACTACTTCACTTTTTTGCGCCAACTACCGTCACAGTGGGTATGTATACTCTCTTCTCTCTCTGACGCATGACTGATATTTCGTTGGTGTCCGTGCAGGAGGTTAAAAAGGTCGTATTTACAAGGCTATGGTGATGACCGTCCTATTCTATAGGCGTGAGGCTTTGCTCTTCGATCTGAGAACTTGCGGCGCCTTCAAGTCCTCGATCATTGATGTCTGAGGAGCATTGCTGGTGTCGGGTGGCTCCATCGTGTCCGGGACGATGATGTGCGTATGCAGGTACGAGGAGGTGATAACCATGCTAGTTCCTTAGAACAACAAATAGCACTGGATAAGTTGCGTTGACTTGGGCACGTTTTACGTATGCCTGATCACTGCTTACTGAGGAGGACCTTGTTTTCTTTGCTAGATGTAGAATGCCGCAAGGCTCGAGGTGGGCAAAAGTTGACTTGGCAGCGGGAAATGAAGTCGCTGACGGCCAAAATCGGTGCAGTCGCTCTGTTTCTCCTTCCCGGATGGAGTGCTCGTTACCCGCCTTGAGCTTGGCTTGTGACGTTGCAGGACATGGCTCGCAGCCGACACCAGTGGCACGTCTGCTATCATTTCCTAATCGGATTGCTTGTTTAAACTGTATTTGGTGATGAGTTATCTGCTGGGTGATGAATGATTATGACACGGGCAGTGAAAGCCGTTAGGAAGCTGTCTCGCCGGTGGCGCCTTATCTTTGCACCATAGCCAGCTGTTTGTGATGGTATATTGTTGATAAGGTGTGGGCATCTTGACACCGTTTGTTTGTTTAAAGCAGGTCCGTCTTCTCATCCTCTTATTGTTTTTCCTTCCGTTAGTCACCATGGTTGCATGGCAGCGAAGCATCAGTTCAAGTGCCTGATGTACTGCTGTTAATGATGATGATCAGTCTGCTTTCATTTCCCCTTCATTCTCCTCATATCCTACCCGCAGTGCTTTCCTCCCTTTCCGGTTCCACGGCTAGGGTACTTTCTGCTGCTTGGCGTTTCCATTGCATATAGTCTTCCGCATTAGTTTTTTTGACACTGGTCCCAGTCATTTATTGAACCCTTTGGTTTAGCACACATGATTGCACGTGATCAGGATAGTGTCAACTTTGGGATGCGAGCAGGTGTCTGTATTGTTCCTATAGTCCCGGTTTTTCCACATCCGATATCTCCTCTTGCATCTTCACCATTGTCGTTATTATCACTGCGCTCATCATTGGTACATGGCTACATTGTATAGATGTTGGTTGCGAGTGGTAATACGGGTTTAACTGTCAGTTTAACTGCTGGTCGACGACAGCTTTACATTTGATCGTAGGTGCTTTTTATCCTGTTACAGCGTCGAGTAACACGGCACGTAGGACCCATTCGGGGAATAGATTTGCTTTAGCGACCCTTACATTACTATCCTACCTTCAACCTGCCGGTACAAAGCTGCAGTCTTTATTCCAAATGTTAGAACCTGGCTTTGGTTGTGGACACCCTAGCGTCTCCCACTTTCCTCTCTGCCGTTTCCCATTAAAAGTATCTCTGATGACGGAAACTTCGACACTTAGACCTATGGTTATCCTAGTTCTGGTGACCGTTTACACTGCTGTAAATTGGTTTTCATCCGGCTTGCCCATACCATCTTTTCATACAAAACCATCCATCCACACTCACTACAATTATTTTCTCTCTCTTCAGCACTGAAAATACGCCAATGATTGCCGGTTTGGGAGAGGTAAGTCGCGACGCTTGTCACTCTTTGGAGTACAAATTCGTCCGTAAAAATGCCGTATGTACGCAACTCCATCCGCTTGTCTTTTGTCCACTTTGAGAGTCACTTCATTTTCTACTAAGTGATATGTCGAAGGATCTCCTTATTGGCTATCTTTTCGAATCGGCCTCACCTCTATTTCCACCCTAACTGAAGCTCATTTGCCAAGCTCCGTTCAAATTCGGCGAATGAGAATTTTTAGAACGCTTTTAGAATTTCTGTAAGCTAAAGATATTCGCTAAGCTCATTTATTTGCCCAAATCACCTGTCCTTTTTCTCGTGTTGGTTTCGGTGCCTTTTCGAGTAACTTCGGAGATGGTTGTTGACTAGATCTAAATCTCTAATTGGAGGGTCAAGTTGCAACTACACGTTGTGTGATTGGATTGCGACGCGTAATCTCAATGTAATGGACTGTGATTCACATTGAAGTGAACCTTAGTCACTGCGATCACTGGGACCGTACTCAAAGCAAATAGAAATTGGGTGTTGCCCACCCTAAAACACTGCACAACCACGACGCGTTTCGATGTAGTTTCATCTCATCAGGTGGAGACAGCAGGCCTTGATCCCGCTACCATTGGAATAGTAGCCGAAATCTCTATCACTTTGACTACCGGGTCACGGTGGGCAACGCTTGGCACAACGGTAAATGACTAATTGGACGGTCAAGGTTGGACTACACGTTTTGTGCTTGGATTGCGACGCGCAATCTCAATGTAATGGACCGTGATTCACATTGAAATGAACCTTAGTCACGGCGATCACTGGGACTGTATTCAAAGTAGATGGAAATTGGGTGTTGCCCACCCGAAAACACTGCACAACCACGACGCGTTTCGATGTAGTTTCATCTCATCAGGTAGAGACAGCAGGTCTCGATCGCTCGACCATTGGAATAGTTGCCGAAGCCGCTACCCTTTTGACTACCGGGTCACGGTGGGCAACGCTTGGCGCAACGGTAAATGACTAATTGGAGGGTCAAGTTGCGATTACACGTTGCTGCTGTCTCCACCTGATGAGATGAAATTACATCGAAACGCGTCGTGGTTGTGCATTGTTTTCGGGTGGGCAACACCCAATTTCCAGACCTAAATCTCCTTTTACCTCTATTCGAGGGCAGAATCCACATATCTGCTTCTCGTTGTCCTGATCGATGTGTAATCATTTTCACCTTACTAATCGAGACGGTCTCACTGTACGCGTACGAAGCTGCATTTACTGTATACTAGTCCTAACCTTCAGTACTATTGACAGCTCGTGTTTTCTGAACACCGCTACACAGATTCTGGACTGTGCAATATTGACTTCTCGAACAGTGAACCGATGTTACTTACGAAATCTATATCTGACGCTTTACTACGGGCTTGACAAGCTTAAGCCCTCTGCCCTTGTCCGGTACTTATTGACTCCGATTGAGTTTCGAAATGGGATGACGTAAACACAACTGTTCATCGGGACCCATTCTAAGAGACCAGTTAAGGGAGACTTAGACATCGCGAACGTTGCGAACTATGAATTGCATTTCGCCGAAAACTTGATGTGACTAAGCTCAACCACTGGAATTCGGATTTGACGTGAGCACACTATCGTCTTACGCATGTGCTTCGGAGACACAAGACAGCTGATTTTCAGCGGGATACAAACTGACCTTGAGTACTGTCTGTTGACAGAGCGGAAACACTGCTCGAGGACATGATCATGTCGTGACTGGGCCTTTCAATCAACTGTTGCCTTCCCATTGAAGCATCATTTTTACTATATGTGCTGCGGTTTTATGTTTTTGCTAAATATTTCTTGAAATTTTCTTTGGTTAGCCTTTTACAACGTCATTTATGATGTTCTCGTTCAGGCTTTCGAAGGAACTTTGAGATGCTACGCATACCACACGTTTGCTGACTTCCGTCACGGAAGCATAAACACATCCGAAAACTTATTAAAAATGTTTTGGTAACTTCGTCGTCATCGTCCCAGTTGACAAACTGGAAATTGATACCGTACCGTCAACCGGATGCAAATGCAAACGATTCACTTTAGCAACATGCAATCGTTACCTGCAGTTCCTGGACTGTTTATTCGAGTAATCCTTGCGCACCAAGCGGTATATTTTCCGTTTTTTCCACTTATACAATTTCCCACTTTTAATCTTGCTGTTTTAGTCCATCCGCAGTAGCTATTGTAACAGGATGGAGATGCATCTACTTGAGTACTTAAAACCTGATTTATCTTGGTCCTAAATGTGATTTGGCTTCCTTACTATCATCGTTCATGTTCCGACAGGTGGACTATCACCCTAATGTGAACAGAAAATGATCGAAAAACTATTCATCCGTCTGAATAATCACACTTTCCCTTGCAAACTTTTGGGCTGTGGTATAGGCGATCATTACCCGGTTTGTTTACATATTCTCCCAGTTCGTCATCATCTGAACGCGAGAATTCGGTGCAGCTTGTCTCTTAAGGTGGCGTACCACAAGGATTCGTAGTGGAGCTTCGCCCACCCTAGTTTCCATGAAATAGGTGAGTTAGGTATTCGGGGATCACTTAGTATAGCAAGAAAGGATGACAATTACACGCGACGACGACTGAACAAGGTATCACACACGCGTATATATATATATATATATATATATATATATATTTATATATATATATAATGTAAGCTACATCGGTCGAGCTCCTTTTCGTTGGCTGATATTCGGTTTATTACGTCACAATGGGATGGGTAAACAAAACGCTAATCAACTGATATGAAGATACGGAATTGAAATGTCTAATGAATATATCTAAATACTTGGTCTACTGAGGTCAAATCCGGCCGGGGCAGCCGGATGACGAGTTTCTTCTGAGCACATAGCTCCGGGTTTTGGTGTCGGATAGCGATTGCCTCTGCTTTAGCCAGTAGATGGCATCTGACCTTTCCGTGCAGTCTCCGGGTATCCGGTAGATGACTTGAAATGTCTCTCGCGTGTCGACTTGGTGAGGCGAATCAATCAGCTGCGACACCATGGCACTCGTTACCGTTCTCCTTAAACCACTGTTGAGCCAAACACCGCAATGTTCCCTAACTCTTTCGGACAAACGCCTGGTAGTTTTCCCAATATATATCTTGGTCGACACGAATATAAGAAGTTGTCTACGCAAAAGGAAAACTTAGACCGTGTCACTCTGTCATTACGTTATTGGATCACAATTGGTTTTCTAGTGAAACTAACTAATAAGTCGGCTACATGTATTGTTCTGGTGATGATATTGGATAGCTTCCGACCTGTTCTTTCTACAATCACATTAGCAGCTTTTCAGCGGAAGCTTTTTTCTCTTTTTGTGTTCGTACTTCCATGTGTCGGCGGATGAACTTATCTGGATTTCCATTTCGCTGGAACAGGCTGTCGATGAAAATTAGTTCTTCAGAAAGCGTGTCTATCGCGGATAGATATCCTTCTCGCTCTCTCCGTTAAACAACGGATGAGGTTTCGTTTATGGCTTGTTGGAACGAGACTAGTGAAATGGTTATACTCTCTGTTTCATGTTGTTTTCCTGTGAAGTCTCTTCTGCATTGTCCCCTACAGTGTCCTTTTGAACTGGACATCTAAAAATACCATGTAGTTATTGCGCTCACGGTTGTTGACAAACTTTATGTTGTCATGTACACTGTTGAATTTGACTAGTGGGTTTTCTGTGCACATTTGGCTATCCGTGACACAAAATATCTAGTTTACGTAGCGACCGTAATACAAGTGAAGTGAGGTCTAGTCAAGTCAAAATAAGCCTCATGAACCCTAATGGGTTCATTTTCAGCGTTTACACCACCACAATGGACACCTGGATGATAATATCAATATACGTGCTTGGGTAGAAACGTGGGAAAAAAGCAGAACAGTAATATAAACCACGGAAGACAATGTGACTAGATTCAGACAAGTGCACATGTTTCGATCAGCCTTCCAACTCACGGGACATTCACCTTTCCATTGGCCTTCATACCTCAGAAAACATTCCTGTTTCCGGCCAACCTCCGCAGTCATAAAACATTCAGCCTTTTTTAACTAAGAAACATTCAGCTTTCCAGTCCAGCCTCCGCCTCTACCAACGTTCCCTTTTCAACATGTTCCGTTGGGATATTTGCATAGTACCAATTCAGTTGCTTCCAGGATTTGCTTACGCAAACCATTGGCACCATCGAGATATAAAAGAAACGCTGTAGTGCGCTGTAATCGCCTTGAACTTGACTGCATGTGAAATCGCCTTCGGTCTAGGAGCCCGTTCAACTCGCGCGTAGTAACCGTGTTGCGCCTAAGTCTCACGGATCGTACAACTTCGAATTTTGTTAGTTACTTTGTCGTGCGTGAAATAGTTCCAAGCCACATTCGTTCGGCCGACTAAGAGAGTTGATCCCAGATCGACAGAGCGTGGCGTAACCAAGTGGCAGTTATAACAGACCACTTCTCCCCAGGAGTTTGGAACGTTTTCATCAATCCGAACCTTTGTGAACAGCGATAGGATTTCACTGACAAATTCATTCTTACCATCTTTACTTAGGACCTGGGGTATGTTGCCCAGGCCGGGTCCTTTGCGACATTTCAAAGATTGGATTGCGCTTCGGATCTCTGCTTCAGTAGGAGGATGTGTGGTGACAGGCCAGGCTGCCTCTGGAAATTGAGGTGTCACAGGGGACTGTGCTGGGTCGTTAAATTGGAAGTAATATTGCTCCGACTAATGACCCAAGCATCTGTGTGGATTATTTCCGTGCCGTCTGACTCACGGATTGTCTGACTGATAACATATGAATTGCAACCAGTGGTCTTGATGAGGTAACATAAACTACAGAAGTTTCCAGCCGACGCAGCGGCTTCCATCTCCACAGCTCGTTTTTACCAATAGGGTTCACCGTCAGAGCAGACGCTTGCTTTCAACTGTTGAGATAGTCCGAGGAACTTCGTTGTGCTCCGCACCAGCAGGTACAGCCC